TTTATTTGCATTAAGGATTTATAATTTATCTAATTGTTGCATTTTTAACTAAAATAGGTTAGTTATTTTAAATAGGTTTATTATTTCTATAAAAAATACTTTCATATTAATAAAAATATCTTTCTCTTTTGTCTATTTATTAAGAATTAAAATCAAGTTATTATTAGGATTTATTTTTGATTTCATTATATGATTTTTAAGTTTTTTAATTTTAACTTTTATCTTGCAATTACATTATAAATTCATTTTATTATTATAGCATTTGTTCGTATTTCATCTATTATTTTTGCTTTATTTATTATAACGTTTCGAGTTAAGCTTTCATATATTCAAATTATTGATTATCATTATTTTTTTAATTTTAAATAGTTTATTATTGTTCTTATTTTTTTTTTATAATTAATCTGATTCTTCATTTTAATATTATTTTTCTTCTCCTTTTATTAAATATTAATTAAATAAAATTATCTAATTTTCCAAATCTTTATTTTAATTAATTAAAAGTTATTATTATTAAATAAACTATTATTACAATAATTATTAATTATGAATATCTTTCTATGCTTCTTCTAAGAATTTTTATTACTATAATATTTAATTTTCTTAGAAAGTAATTATTTATTTTAAATTAATTAATTCTTCTTCCCGTAAAATTTTTTCTTTTTGGATATTTTCAAAAAGAATATTTTACTCATTATAATTTAATCCGTCATCTTGTATCTGATTGTACATAACCTAATCCACCCTAGATTAATAAATAATATTTTGTTATAATTTTATTTCCTATTATTCTTTATTTTTTTTTCTATATCTAATTATTAAAGGTATAACTCTTCTAAATTTAAATAAGATCCTCTACTGGCTATTTTAGAAGCATTTTAACTTTATTTTTATGAATTTTTTATTTATTAATTTGAATTAATTTAAATAATATCAGGGCTATCTTCAATTATATTTTTACTTGGGGTCAATTTGTTATTTTTTTTGTTTAGAGAAAGCTAATTATTAAATTAGCCCTCTAATTGTTTTTATTCTTCTATTTATTATTAGTCATCAAAATCGTCTTAAATTATAATTTCTTTTCTTAAATATGGTTTGTATTTATTTATAAATTAGTTGTGAATTTATTTTAAATAAATACAAGCAAAATTATTATCTAATTCTTAATCCTTTTATTAATTTTTTTAAACGGTAATATATTAAAATTATTTTATTTACAATATGCTTATCTATTATTTCTAAAATCTGTTGAGGTTATAAAATATTATCATAATTTTATTAAACCATTTTTTCTATAATGTAAGCAAAGTCTTTTGAATATTTTTAGCTTAATTCAACTAATCTTTTAATTAGATTTTAATTTATTAATTTATATTCACTATCAAAAAGGTCTTCTTAAGTTTACAAAAAAGCGGCTTCCAAGATACATATTCCTAAGCTAAAAATATCGCTTTTATAATCATCTAAATATTCTTTATCTTGTGGATTTTCTTATCTAAGAATCTAATTTTATTTTTATATATTATATGATAAAAAATCATAATTTTTATTTTTTAACACTTTTTAATCAGAAGGAGGTAAATATATCCCTTCAATAATTTTATTTTGTTAATTTAAAATTATTTAGTTAAGTAATGTTTCTTAATTTATTAATCCATACTCTGCTATTTAATAAACTCCTCGAGTCGATATATAAATAGTTTTAGTACTCATATTTTTAACTGGATATCCTAATTTTTAAAAATAAGCTAATCCAGAAATTATACTTTTAAGAATTTTCCATAATTAACTTTCTGTAAAATGTTTAAATTAATATTCTTGTTTTCTTAATTTTATTTCATCATCTAAAGTTCCTATGGGAAACTCTAATATTTCTGATATTTCGTATGCGTTTCCACATATTAAATTTGATGCTTAATTTTCAAAAAAACCTTTAATAATTATATATGGCATTTTTTATATAATTTATAAAATAGTACTTATTAATTTAAGTATATTTTCCTGTTCTTATTTTTATCGAGAAGTAAATTATTTAATTTGTATTTCAGATAACTGAGTATCTTATATTTTAGATCTTTTAATAACATAACTTTTAATTTTTACGTTTTAATAAATTTAAATGTATCCAAAAACAGAATCATTTAAATGTTATTTAGTAATTATTTAGTATTCAGAATTAAATTTTTTGTTTATTTACTATTATGAAAAATTAGTATTTCCCATTTTTTTTAAAAAATATATGTAAAAATAAAAAAATGAAAATATTATTTTAATAAAAATTATAAAAGTTTCAAAAATGAATTATATTTAATTAATATGTATTTAAATAATTAATAATAAATGAATTTAATTATATATATAATATAAGTGATTGAAAAATATAAAATAATTCAATATTAATTCTAATTTCTAATATATTATTATTTTTTTATTGTTTAGTAGATAGATATATAATTATTATTTTAATTTATTATATATTATAGAAATATTTAAAATGGATTAAGAATAAGACCCTTTTGATCAAATTAATCTAATTTAAAAATAATATTATTTAAATGGATATAAATAAGCTTAAAAATCTTATGCAGGTAATAAAAATGTTGAATATAAAGAAAACTATGACTAATGTTTATTAACTGGTTAGCAAGTAGTTTTTTTTTACCATTGTATTTTTATTTTTTATTAAAAATTTTTAAAATAAAAAAAACGAACATAAGTTTGGATTAGAAATGGGATATTATACAGGCTACATAGAAAATCTTAAATAAGTTTTACCTCTGTTTGAAGAATACTAAAAACATTAGAATAAGTAAATAATAAAAAATATTCTAAAATAAACTAAATATAGAGTAGATTAATTGATTTTAGATTTATAAGAAATAATAATAAATCTTAGTCCTGAAAGCAAAATTATTGATATAAACGGGCTACCAAATAATGTTCTTTTAATGAGAAATAAATTTAAAGTAAATTATTGTGCAAAAATAAAAAATATAACGATCCATTTAATAATATATAAAATAAATTATATAATTTTTATATGATTTTTTTTATTAAAAATAAATAAAAATAATTAGACACTTATATTAAACCTTGGTATTAAAAAATCAGATTTTAATTTATGTAATATGAATTATAATAATAGTTTAAGTTTTTGATTTCATTTCATATAATATTTTTTTATTTAAAAAAGATAAAATAAATTTATATCTGTAAAATATTTTTTTTTATAATAAATTATTGTATTTATAATGAATATATAAATTATGAATTTTAATGATAATTCAAATACAATAAATATATAAAAAAAAACAAAAAATTTTATATATTAAAACCAATTGATTTAATTTAAAAGCTTAATAATTAATTATAGATTTTAAAAAGATATGAATTAAATATTATATTATCAAATTTTATTAATTTAATATTATTTTTTATAATTAAAATGTATTAAATATTCTAACAAATATAAAAAAAGAGATAAAATTGATAAGGCTTAAAATAAAATAAAAATTATAAAGAAAAAAGTGTTGTGTGAAATAGTTTTCGAAAAATAAAAATATAAAAAGTAAATAATTAGGAAAATAAAAATGTAAGTAAAGTATTTTTGCCTATGATATTAACAAAAAAATAATTATAAATTGCAAAAATAAATAAAAATAATTAACTTAAATAAAATCATAATAATATAATATGAAAAATACAAAGATAAAAAAAATAATAAATATTTAAACTAAAAATAAAAATATTTAAATAATATATTTGCAAAAATATTATAATAATATTTATTTTAATATAAAAAAATTAGTAATTATAAAATTTATCTATAAAAGTATAATATATGCTATCTGATATTTATTAATTTATTTATTTATTAATTTATTTATTTATTTATTAATTTATTTATTAAATTTGGTATATTAAAAAAAAATTATTTAATTCTAAATATTATTAAAACATTTTTATATTCTAAATAATTTTATATTTTATATATCGTACTTTATTCAAATTTTAAATTAAACATTTCTAATTTGCAAATAATTTTTATTCTCGAAAAATTACTTTTTTATATTTAAATTAAAATTACTACCAATTTAATATTCAATGGTATATTTTTTATATTATCATATTTAATAATTTTCAAAAATATCAAATATTGTAAAATCAACTTAATAAATTTGATAGAATTTATATAATTGAAATTTTATTGAAATAGTATCTATTAATTAATTAATTAAATAGATGAATATACTTTATTAAAATTAATTATTTTTTCTTTGCAACTTTAATTGTTCAATATAAAATTAGTTTATTAAATTAATATGTATTTTATAAAAAGAAAAATAATAAAGATAATTAAAAAATACGATATGCTTTTTTAAATGCTCTTTAAATTATATACAAGAAAAATTCAAAGTTCAGTTATAAATTATATAAATTTTTTCTTAATTCCACTAAATTAGTAGAATAAAATATTTCTTACTTTCTATATATAAGAGTGTAAAAATTGATTAAGTTATTGAATAATATTTTTTTTTTTTAAAAAAAAAAACAAAAATAAAAATATTTATTTTTTTAAATAGTAAATAATTAGTTTTGAAAACTATTTTTATTAATAATATTTTTTTGTAGTTTTTTTTTATTGATAAAAAAAAAAAAATTTAATTCTTATAAAATAATTTTATAGAAATAATTTACATATTATTTTTAATACATTATTTTAATTGCATTATAATTAATTCATAATATAATAAAATAAAAAATATTTCTGTTTCTATATAATTTTAAAAAATGATAATAATTAAAATATAATTTAAAATAATATGTATTGAAAAATGTATTAAAAATAATTTAAATTATATATTATTTTTACATAAAAAAATTAATATTATAATCTTTAAATTGATAGGATTAATAGATATAATTTTTATTTTTAAATTATTTAAATACTGTAAAAAATAAAAAAATAGTTAAATATATTTTATAATATAAGGAAAAAAATGACAGAAGAAAACCATCATGGCGAGTAACCCATAATAACGATGGGGTCAATTATATCAATATCACATTTTGAAGATAATAACGTATTTGCATATGCTGACGGTCATATTAAATCGAAAGTAATGTTGAAGAATTTTACATCTTTAATATGTAAATAAGCAAAAAATAACTAAAATAATAGTCAAATCGATTCGGATAATTTATAAAATTAAAATGATATTCTTAAACTAAAAAAGCACGATAAATTTTCTGGATCTTTATTTTAAATATTTCCAAAGCTTTAAAATAAATAAAAAGAAGAAATAATGGGTAATATTTATGGCTCTCATTATTAATCATCTAGTGAATATTAAAGTTTAGAATTAGATATTATGAATAGATTAGATAAACAAAAAGAAGAAATCAATCTTTTAAACAGTCCTAATTAATAAGATGATAAAGATAAAAATAATAATAATCAAAATAATAATAATAATAATAAATAAGGAATAAAAGTCGAAAAAGAAAAAATAATGCAGTTTCAAAATAAATTATTAAATGAATTTAAAAGTAATTATGAAGCTTTTGAAAAACATAAAAATAATAGAATAACTTATAATCAAACAATCCAATTAATGCATATTAATTCTTCAAAATTTCTTGCTTGCCATCAAACTGAAGCTCATTATGAATAAGGAAATTTCCTTGTCACTTTAGATGATTATCCTTCTGAAAATACTTTATTTAGGATAGTTCCAGCTTTTAAATATTAAAAAGATGGAGATTTAGTAAATTATTAATTATTTATATCTTATTTTTGAAAAATAATAATTAAATTATCATATTAAAAGACAATATACGCAAATGAAATTATATTGATTGAAAGAGCAAATTAATTTCATAATAAAAAAACATATTTGCATACATCTGAAGAATTATTCAAACAAGATGAATAATTTTAAAACAGTTTAAATGTTTAAAAAAAAGAATTTAAATATCTTGGAATGGACAAAGAACAATTAAAATTAAAAGTAAAAATATCTAAAATAAATAAATAATTTAAATATTAATAAAAAAGGGAACATGGCATTCTAATACAGGTAAAGTATAAGCGAACATATAATAATAATTTACATAATAAAAACTTATAATAAAAAGAGAAGTTAATGGTTCATAAGAAGGAGATCCAACAAAATGGAAAATAAATTTATTTTCAAATTATACCTAGAATTCACACATGTATTTGAGATGTGGTAATGTAATATGGCTTCATCATTCTGAAGCAAATGCTTCTTTAGGAGCTTAAAGAAAAACAACTTAAGGAAATTTATTATAATAAAGAGATTGGTAAAATATAGATTCAAAAGAAAATTTAGAAGTGACAATTGTAAATTCAGATACTTCTAATTCTTTTGATGAGTATGCCGGAAATACTTGCGGAATGTGGATTGTAGAAAAAAAAGATTTTAAAAGTGGAGGTTATGTTTAATATGAAAAATAATATCGATTAAGGCATTTAAGTAGTGGTATTTATTTGACTGTAGAATCTAATTATAATACAAAATCTTAAAAAGAAAGATAACAATTATTTTTAAATCGTAAATAATTTTTTTATTTTTAATTTTATTTTTTTATAAAAAGCCAAGTAAGCAGGTAATAATTAAGATTTTTAATTCATGAAATTGACAAATATTCCCGATGAAAACACTTTGTTTGAATTTCACTCTTTAGAATAGATATAAGGAAATTAAAGCAATAAATAAATACGCTCCGATTCTTTTGTATAATTAAGACATGTAAGTACAAAAAAATGGGTTGATTTAGCACTAAAAAGCGAAGAACAAAGAATAAATGAAGCTTAAAAAAATGAAACTATGTATTCAAGTCATTATCCAAGTTTAAATGCAGAAAGAACCGAAAATTAAGTGTTTAAATTATTTTCTGCCAATGAAAATGAAGTTTGGGAAATTAATTTTGTGATATCTTCAAGCAGAATAATTACTAAATTAATGAATTTAATGGAAGTTTTAGAAATTCCCAGTATATCTAAAACAAATGTGGTACAAATAAACAATTAAATGTAAGAAAACAAAATAAACCTATAAGAAAACAAGAAAATATTATAAAAAAAAATAAAATAATCAATAATAATATTAGAATAACTAAATGAATTCTGTAATAACAGAATGCATAATAGTAGTTTAGATTAAAAGTACGGAACAATAAATTAGTTTAGATAGAAATTACTCAGAGAATAGTATTATATTGATATTCTTTGTAAACTTCTTAATGGAATGTTTACATAAGAAGAATAAAATAGATTAAATTTTTTAGAAAAAGAAATATAAGAATAAATTGAAATTGATTAAGAGATTAAAAATAAAGAATAATAACTTATTAAATAAGGAGATAAAAATAATTAATTTCTATAAAGAATTAGTAATAAAGGTTTTCTTTCTGTTCTTGATTATCTGACTTATTTAAATCTTAAAAAATATTTAAGCAAAAGTATTTATATCCTTCTTATTTCTATTTGTAAGCAAAATACTGAAAATGAATAATACACCTTTTAACTTATTCCTCTTTTTTAAGAGCATTGTAAATTTATTCCTGCAGCTATTGATTGTATTATTGAAATTATACAAAATAATTAACTCTTGCTTTATAAAGTTAATGAAAATATTTCCTTTTCTAATGATTTTAATTCTAAATATAGCCAAAATAAAATTTAATCATTAGAATCTTTTCTAAAATTAAAGATAATGTTTTAAATTAAATAATAACTAAAATTCATAAAATTTAATGAACTATTTTGTTAATTTGTTGTATAATGATAATTATATACTTAAGGCTAATTATTATAAATTTTTAAGTTCTATATGTAAATTTTAAAATGAAGGTCTATCATTAAATTAAGAAAACTTATATAAACTTTATAAATAAATAAATAAAAATAATTAAAATAAACAAATTTTCAAAGAAAAGTTTATGTAAACTATAGAAAATAAAGATAACATATAAGTAAAAATTAAATTAAATATAAATTTATTTGATAATTTTTGAAAAAATGATAGATAGAAATTCTTTGTTAGGAATTATCTTTCTTATCAGATGTTTCATTAGGTAGGAATTTTTTATGGAGATGTGAATTAATTGATTATTTTGAATGTGAGTTTTTATTAGAAAATATATGGAATGCTGGAATTTTCAAGAATTATGAACAATTAAGAAGTTGTTTTAGTAAATTAGCTATGACTTTATATATAGATCATGACCCTTTAAATAGAGTAATAATACCTAATTACTGTAGAATTTTCGATTATGTATAAATTTTTTTTTTATTTTTTTAATGAAAATAAAAGATTGATTAGAAAAATGAAATATAAATATTTTCTCCTGATTCAAATATATTTTAATTATATAGTAAGTTAGTTTAAAATTTGCTATCTTATTTCTAATTTGTATCTGAAAAAGTGGAAAAAGAATTTGATAAATATAAACTTTAAGGCGAAAAAAAGAAAGATATAATTAAAAATAAGAAGAATAAGATGATTAAAACTAAAAGAAAGAGGAGATGATTTATTGAATTCTGATTTACTTTTTCATTCTACAAATATGCTTAATCTTCTTTTAGAATTAAATCTTTTTAATATTTTAGGAAGATAAAAAGATTACTTTTTAATTGTTTAATATCTTATAAAACTAATTGCTTATGACAAAATAAATATAATTTTTTCAAGCACTTCTTATTACTAAGCATATGAAAGTTCAGTGGAAAGATAAAATTAGAAGAATAAATTAATGAATATGAAAATAAATGTTAATATTAATTTAAATAAAGATATGTTTAATATATTTTAAGGTAATTCATTTAATATATATATTTAATCTAATTTTTCTTATTTAAAATAATTCAATTTAATTTTAATTTAATTTAATTTAATTTATAAATTTATAAAAAATATTTATTAATAATATATATATATATATATATATATATATATATATATATATATATATATATATATATATATATATATAGTAGAAAACGATGAAGAAATTAGTGAATAAGATGAAAGCAATTTATAATATGGAATCTTGAATTCTAATTAATGCAAAATTGATGAAAATTTATTATATAATAATCCATTAATGAGAGGATTTTTGAAGTATAATCCTAATAAAAAAATTTATTTTATTTTATTTATAATATATATTTTATTTTCTATTAATAATAAAAAGAATTAACAGCTCATTACATAGTTTAGGAATAGATGATAATGATAAACTTAATATGGATATAAAAATAAAGCTATAAATATGTGATATATTTGAACAGTTTTTAAATATGAGATAAGATTACTTGATATAAAACGTAATGCATTGGTTCAGTAAGAATATTATAGATAGAATGAATAAGGAAGAAATACGAGATGATTAGAGTTTATAATAAGCTTTTGATGAAGGATTTAGTAAAATATTTCCTAATATTTCTAAAACAGGATTTTAGGAATTAGACGAAAGATATAAACCAAAAGATATTAACTAATTAAATCAAATTTTAAATTATAAATAATTTTTCAAAAATTTAAGAATAGAAAAAGATAAATAGTCTAAATTAAATTCTTTTGTATTTTAATCATTTACAAGTAATACTTAAATATTATACTTTTATTTATAAAAAATAAAAAAGACCAATAAGATGAGTTTTTTGATTTAGATTGTTTATTAAGTGTTTCTTACTGTAAAGCTTTACAACAAGAAGAAGAGAAAAAGAATCCTTCGTTTTCTATTTTACCTTATTTATTGTAAACTTTTTTTCTTATCCATAATCCTTAACTTGAAAAGAAAATACTTTCAATTATTTTAAGACTATTTAATTAAAGATAAGAACTTAAAGATAATTTAAATAAATTATAAGCTATTTTTGATGATGATAGAAAAAAACTATATAAAATTTTAAAAAATGAAGGATATAATCTTACAAAATGTATAGAAAAGACCGAAATTTGGTTTATATAATTCATTAATAATTATGATAATTACTAAGAGATGAGTGAAATTAAATAAATTTTTAATATTATATCAAATATTAAAGATTCTTTTTTTGATAGTCTTACTTATAATAATGATAAAATTGCTTTGAATTCCTAAATTGGCAAAAAAAATATAGATCCAATAAAATAAAAAATATTTTGTTTTTTAAAGACTTATGAATCTATAATATCATTAATAAAAGATGGTAAAACAAAAATAATAAATTATTTATATTATTTTTTAATAAAAACATATATTTTTTATAAAGGTATGCATCATTTTAATGCTATTATGAAGGATCAAAATTAACCTTTGAAAAAGAAAAAAATTATATTTAATATTTTCGAAAATTCTTATGAATTATTGTACAATTTTTGTAAAGGAAGCATTGAAAACTAACTTATTTTATATGAACATATAAATATATTATTATCTTATCTAGAATATGATGTAGGATAAATAAAATTGTTATGTTAAATTTACAAAAACAATAGTAATCTTTTGAAATAAAAAATTGACAAAAACATAATTGATAAATTAATAAACTTAATATTAAAATAAGGAAGATAGTCTCATTATTTGGATTTTTTTATTGTTATTTAGAAATGTTAAAATAATGTAAAAAAATATAAAATATTTTTAAATTTAAAAAATAATAATAAATTAAAGTATATTTTTGATAATTAACTATTAGTATTAAATACTTTTTTGCCTTTAAATAGTATGGGGTAAAATGAAATAAATTTGATGTTTGCCTTAGAAAAAAAAGGAGGAAAATAAAAAAACATAAGGTTTGATTTAAATAATACAAATTATATTTTCTAAGAATAAAGATAACCATTTTTAGAATATATGCAAAGTAATAATACTACTTTTAGAGATGAACCATTTAAATATCATGCAAAGTTAATAAATATGTTACTCTAGACTACATATATTAAAGTTTAAAATCAAAATGATACAGATTTTAATCCTAAAGAAAATTTCAATATTTCAATTGCTAAGTTAAAAACTACTCTTGATATTCAATTTATTAAAGATTGTCTAATGGAAAAAGATTACTATGGACCTATTGATAGTTAATCTGATTCTATTTAAATTTCTAAGGCTAAAGGATATTCTTATTTAAAACCTTATATTTTCGAATTTATTAAATGTGTTTATATTTAAAGTGAAACTTCATAATGTAATTTTAATTTTATTTAATTACTTTTTATTTTTAAATATAGTATTAGGAGGTGGAGAAAACTAATTAGTTTTCTAATTTATTGAAATTATATTGAACTGTGAAAAGAAAAGATTATACTAATTATCTAAAGCCGTGGATTATTAACCAAGTTTCTTAAATTATTTATTTAATTCTTTAATAAATTTATTGCTTAATTACCATGAAAAATATTTATAAAATTTTCCTAGTTCTGATGAAGAAAGAAAAGATTTATCAGTATTTTTTATAAAAAATTAATTAATTTTAATTTTTTTTAAAAAGGATATTAAATAATATGCTATTGATCTCCATAAAAAAATGCATATATTTGATAATTAAATAAATTCATAATAAATAAGAATACTTAATAAATTTTTAAGAAACTATTTAGATGAAGAAGAAATAAATATTCATTAAATACAAGAAAAGAAAATAGAAGTTGATAAAATATTTTTAAACAAAGATATAGATTTGATGGATTCAGGCAGATTATATGACTAAGTAGTTGTTTAAAGTAAAAGATATGAAAACAATTAAATTGTTTCTTAAGAAGATGAATAAGTTTCTTTAAATAAAGATGAACTAATTGTAATTAAAAATATTATTAATAAAAAAAATTAAAAAATTAAAAAAGGAAAAATGTTCAAAATAAACAGACAAACACATAATAAAAAGAAGCAAATTTTAAAACTTTACAAAAATAATGTTTAAAGGAATAAAAAATACAGTAAAATATATAAGCAAAGGTACCCCTAAAAGAAGTGTAAATAAAAATTTTGATGAAATAGAAATAGAAAATACATGGAAGTTATTTTTAGAATAATTAAATTATAATTCAGATGTATAAAATGAAATTGATAATGAAAAATCAGCTTTAACATCTGCAATATTAGACTGCAAGTAATTAATAAAGGATGAATTTTATAAAGATATTGAACCAAAACCTGATAAGCAAGCAATATTAAAGAAATTTATAATATTTTTACAATACGCGATAGAAGACATAACAAATAAAAATACAATAAAAGTACTTTTACAAGTTTTGAGAAACATGGTTGAAGAAAACAAAGAAAACGAAGAAGAATAAATAAAAATGTAAAATTAACTTGACTCATTAGGGGCGACAAGAATGGTATTATACGTAATAAGTGAGAACCATAAAAATTTAGATTCAGAAATGCTTATTTAATTTTTGAATTTTGTAAATACTTTATTAGAAGGAGGAAATGTGAAAGTTTAAAAAACTTTATTTGAGTTTTATACTACACATTAAAAATCAGAAGTTATATTTAAAAGATTTAATCATATTATTAGGAAGCAAATCACTATTATAGAATAAAAAGCTAAAGAAAAAAGTAAAGCTAGATCGAACACGATGAATTTGATATAAGATGAATTAGACAGCTCTAATGATTAAACTGATATTGAACTTCTAGAATTTGTGCTTAATTTCTTATAACTATCTTGTGAAGGACATAATCTTAAGTTGTAAAATTATGTCAGATAATAAACTAATTCTAGAAATAATTATGATATGATTAATGCTATTGCAGATTTGTTAAAAACATATTATTATGATGCAAGAACTTAAGTTGAATTTTTTATTACTATTTTTTATTTATTTTATTTTTTAGCAAATGTATGAGAATATGATTAAATGTCTTGATACTTTAAATGAATTCGTTTAAGGACCTTGTTTAGAGAATTAAATTGCTGTGTCTGAAAGTAAGTTTTTTGAAATTGCGAATGATATTTTTACTATTAAAAGAAATATTTAAGAGAATCCTATTTCTTAATAAATTACTATGAAATCTAAAGAATCGTTAAAATAATCTATTACTTAAAAAAAAAGTATATATTTTTATAATAATTTAAAAAATATTTTGCATTTTGTATTTTTCTTATAGATTAAAAAATAAAAAGTAATGAAGGATTAGAAAATTGGATGATTTATAGAATGCAAAACAAATGTCTTATTTTAATTTTAAGTTTGCTGGAAATGAGATATATAAATGAAAATAATATAATTATCAAAAAAATTATGAGAAATCTTCCTTTATCTTTACTTGAACCTTAATTAGTAGAAATTTATAAATTATATTAAGCAGCTTACGGAGAAAATTATTAAGAAGAGTGCTTAGAATATCTATCAAAAGATCCGAAATCAATAGTAGACGATAAAGGTTAAAAAAAATTAGAATGTGTCACTTAAAATGGATTCTATATTATATTCTTAATTTAATACTATGTAAATTAAATAAATATATTTATAAAATAATTTAAAAATTAAGCTTGAATATGATGATAAATTAGATAGTTAAATTGTAAGTTTATAGAAAATGCATAAAAATAAAGTCTTAAAAACTGAATAAAATGCACTTGAAGGCCTTTTATTCGGTGATAATATTTTAGGTTAGATAGCTTCTTTTGCAATGAACTTTCTAAAGGAAGGTTTATATGCAGCCTAATAAATGAAATCTTATGCAAATAATATAATGGCTAAAGGAGAAGAAGATGAAACTATAAAATAATAAAAAGAAGAAGAAGAAAATAAAAAAATGCTGAAAAAAGCTTTTTTCTTTTTTAGTGATCATACTGCACACATAGATGTTGTTAGAAATAATTAATTAGAAATGTATTTTTAATAATATATTAGTTATATAATTATTTTTTAAAAAAATTTAAAGTGTGTTTTTTATCTTATTACCTTTTACCGATTGTTTACCAAAGGATAAAAAAATTGAGTTTCATGAAAATGTTGATAGATAAAGTGTAAAAACTAAAGTAGGATATTTAATGCAGTAATGTAAATCTTTTATTGAAATTTCAAAACATGAGCACAAACTAAAAATTATTTTTTCTTAGAATAAATTTATAGCATTGTTTGCCAAGTAAATAATTTCATTTATATTAAAATAAAATAAAAAAAAGCTATGTAAACTTATGGAAATAATTAACTTTTACATTGACCTTAATTTTGAATATATTCATACTTATAAGTTTTAATAGTGATTATGAAGATAGAATTAACAATTATAGACTGTATGACGCTTTATCAGATTAAAGGTTATCATAAGATCGAACTGATTAAATAGTAACTATATTATTTATTTATAAATATATTTGTAAAATAAAATAGTTTGATATATTAGGTATTATAATGACAATATGTAGTAGTTTTGTAGTCTTGTTTTTTTTATGTAAAAATGTACCTTTAATAGTAAAGAAAGCATGGAGTGATGATATTAATTAAGGTTAAAAAAATAAAAATATGAGAGATTAGGGGGCATTTAAAATTCTAATAATATTTTTAACTAAACTATTTAAAGTAATATTCATATTCCTTTAGGAAATAGAAGTAATGTATTATATAGCCTATGGCGCATTAGCTGTGCTTGGGACTGTAATTCATCCATTTTTTTATACCTTTCATTTAACAGAAATATTAATTAGATATCCTACCCTTAAAAATGTAATAAAGAGTGTTTATATTCCGAGAACTTAGCTTTATTTGACTTTCGTTCTTTTCATTATTATTGTTTATACATTTACTTTGATTGGCTTTACTTTCTTTTATAAGGATTATGATGGAAATTGTGATAATTTACTTATTTGCTTTTTATTTACTTTCGATTTTACTTTTAAAGCTAATGGAGGTATTGGAGGATAGTTAACAGAAATGTGGGTATAAAAAGAAAAAGATAATGAACAAGAATATAATCCTAATTTTTAAGCTGGAAGACTACTTTTCGATAACTTTTATAATATAATTCTAGTTATTATAATGGTCTAAATTGTTGCTGGTATCATTGTTGAAGCTTTTGAAGAATTAAGAGAAAATGAACAAACTAAAAACAGAGATATTAGTGATAAATGTTTTATTTGTGATAATTTAAAGTTTTTTAATTTTATTTTTTTTAAATTCTTAATATTAAAAAAAAATAGAACTGATTTCAATAGAAAATAAGATACTAAAGGTGGATTTGTTGAGCATATTAAATTAAATCACTATATGTGGAATTATATTAAGTTTATCGCTTATATTTAATGGAAATAACCTACTGAATATACTGGAATCGAAAGTTATATTTTCGAAAAATGGCAAAACAATGATTTATCTTGGTTTATATTTTATTTATAAATTACATTTTATAATTAATAATAGGTTTCCATTGAATAAAGCGAGAGAGTTAGATGATAAAAGATATGAAGAAGATGAAGAAGAATTAAAATAAATAAATTAAATGAATTAAGATGTTTTTTTTTTTATATTTTTTATTTTATATTTTTTTTTTCTACATTAGATTATTGATGCTATGGAAGGACTTAAAGAAACACATAAAATAATAACAAAATTACATAAAAAAAAGTGATAGAAAAAATATAAAAATTTTAATATGTTTTTATTTTTAAAAAATAATTATTTTATATTATTAATTTATTAATAAGAAAAAAAAAAATTAATTTACTTAAAAATAAATATTATAAAAATTATTGATTTAAATATATTTAACTTCAAGTATTTATAAATCATTTATATAATATCAAAATATAAAATTATTTAAATTTAATTTTAGCAAATATATTTATATTTCATTTTGTTTTATATATATATATATTATATATTATTTATTTTGCTTTTATTAATTTTTCTGTGATTTTTTTAAAAAAAAGGTTATTGTCTATTTTCTCTCCTTTTTTTTTGATGATGAAGTTTATAAAAAAAAAATATATGAATAAATTATATATATAAAAAAAAATATATATATAACAACTAATTTTAAAATATGTTTAAATATTTATATTAAAAACAATAACATGCTTAATTTTTTTATTTTTTCTTTTTCCTTTAATCATAATAATTAAAAATGTAAATATAAAACACTTTAAATAAGAAAATAAAAAAAAATGAATAGATAGAGATAACAAAATAAAAATAAATCTCAAAGCATAGCTTTGACTAAATCATTAATAAAAACTTCTCTATTACCCCAGTCACCTCCTTAGTGGAAAGCGTGTCTTTTATTTCTGAATCCTCCTCTAGGTGTATCAAGTTTGAAAGGCCATAAAAAGTTGTTAGCTTCTTTGAAATGGGGTCCGCAGGTTGTAATTTCATGGACAAGGTCTTCAAAGCAGTTAATGTTGTATTTACCGAGATTTTATTCGATTAAAGTGTTATCAGTAATAGGAATTCTTTATCCATTAACTTTTGCGAATCCTCTTTTAAGGATTAATTTAGAAATTGTTTATCTGTTTGGGTACCTTTATTAATTTATAATTTTTATTTATTTAAATTAAAAAATAATTACCCTAAGGTTACAAAAGGAAGTACTTTCTTCAACATATTTAAACTGGATTTATTTACTTTGAAGAAGGTTCCATTGTGAATTTATCTAAGTCTGAAAAGTCTTAAAATTCTAATAACATCTGGGTGAAGTTAGTTTACACTTTATTTTTTTATTAATTATTTTTAATTATTATTTATTTTTTTACCCTCTAATTCTAATAACAAAAGCTACTTTGGGTTCAGCAGGTACGAAAAAGGATCCAGATTTTCTTGCCTTTTTATTTTAATTTTTAAATATTTAATATTATATATAATTTATTAGAATATTATTTATTTACTTTTCTTTTTTCTTCGACAACTCTTCTTTCTTAAGCAACATATTCAGATTCGTATTTTTAAGCTTTAGAAGTCCATTCAGCTTTTCTTTATTTCATTAATGCTGATCTAGTTTTTCTTGCTTCTAAGGCTGATTTTCTTAATTTTTCATCTCTTTATTGCTTTTTTTAAACGTTTTCTGGGACAAATCTATTTTTTTATTAGTTCAAAATATATTAATAAATATTAATATTGTTTCTTACTTAGCCATTTTCTATACTTTTTTCTTTAATTATTATTATTTTATTTTATTCTTTTAGTTTTATTAAAAATTTTTTTTTTTTTTAATTAATAAGTAAATTTAATATATCCTAAATAATTTTAACTTTTATTTTTTTTGTTTTTATTTATTGTTTTTATTTATAAATTTTTATTATTTAATTTTTGTTTTTTTTTATTAAATAAAATAATTTTAAATATTTATTATAGAAAAAAAATTTTTTGTTTTGTTTAATTTTATTTATTTTTTATTTATCCATAATTTATTAGTCTTTATAAAATTTTAAATTTTAAAAAGTTAAATATTTATTATAATTTGTAAAATAAACAAAAATATTTAATTTTTTATTTTAATGTATTTGAAAAAATTTAATATGTTTAATTTTAATAAAATAAATATTATTTCTTATTTTTAATTTATAAAAATCAAATTTACTAATTAATTTTTTACAACTATTCTTTTATTTAAGTAAAAGCAGTTGTAGATCTCATTAATAAATCTTATAAATCTTCTTTTTAATCAGAACATTATTTTTATTATTAACTTTTTAATTTCAAAACATAATTTTGTAAATATTAAATGTGATCTTTAAGTTCTTTAGGAACTTCTTTGTGCAAAACAATAGTACTTTCAAAAGCTTATATCTTTTTTGCAAGTTATTTATTATCATTTTTCAAATCTTAAAGTTACTTAAGCTTAATTTTTAAATTGTTATTTATTTTTTCTTAAGTTTAGATTTCTTCTTAAAAATAATTTTTATCTTTTTTATATTATTTAATTTATTACTTGCATTCATTTTATTAATCCTTAATTTATTTTAATTCTTTTTCAAGCAAATCTAACTTTTAATCATTTTATTAATTATTATTTTTCTCTAAAATACTTCCTTTCACGAAATCTTTATTTTCTCCATTCAAGCATTTATTTTCTTATCTAAAATAGAATTTATTAGGAGCTGTACTTGGTCTTTATAATAAATTTTATTAATGCTATGAATTTTTATGATTTTAACAGTATTTTTTAGCTAATTATTGATCTTGATAAGATATAATTTCCTACTCCAATTTTTTTAGTGAAGGTATCGTATTTAAAACTTCGTATTTAAAGTTAATAGATAAGCTACAAGGATTATTTCCTACTTCAAGTTCTTCTAGATTTTTTAAAAAGCTAAATATTTCACAGCAATTTTGGCTAATATTATTATTATACAAACTTAAACATTTTAACTAAGTTAAATATTTTAGGCAATTAATTTCTTCTATTTAATTATTGCTTGCCCATAATTTTTCTAATTTTATGCATTCTTATAAAGGATTAAGAGATTTTATTTTATTGAAATTAATATTTAATTCAATTAACGTAGCTGAAAATTTACTTATCGAAACTACATTTATTAAATTATTTTTTGATAATGTTAAGTTTTTTAAATTCACCATTAAATCAAAACATACATTATTCATCCCATCTTCAAAAACATATAAATTTAAATCATTTAAAGTTAAACTTTCTATAAATGCTATTTCTTTCGTTAATACATCATCACTTTATTATATTAATAATTCATTTGTTATTTTTTTTTCGAATCAATAATCTATTATACTGATATTTTTTGAGTACTTTTTTAGCTTGAAATACTACTTGTCTCTTCTCTATCAATATCTTATTTTTCTTTTAAATTTATTAAACTATTATTTTACTCCTCTTCCGAGTTTTTCATATATTTTATTATACTTTTCATTAATTCTATCTCAACAGTTTCGGATTTGCTACGCTTTTAAATGTTTTATTAAAGAGGTTACTTCGTTTATTATTTTAATTCTTATTATTATATTAATGTAGTTGTTTAATGCCTCCTTTCTATATGTTATTTTAATTATTATTCAGATTAAAATTATCTTCCACAATTATCATTTTTACATTAAAACATTTATTTATTATATTATTTTTACTTTTATTATATTATTTTTTATAATTCTAATAATAATAATATTAAGTTTCTTTTAAAAAATAAATATAGAAAAATAAATAAACTTATTATTAGATTTAAAAATTTCGAAAACTCTAAAAAAATTATTTAAATTTATTTTAAAAAAGGCAATTATTTTTCATTATTTTTATAATCAGAAAGACTATAATCGCATACTGATAAATAAATAGTCTAATATATATCTATTTAGATCATATTCTAAAATTTTAGAACACGATAATCATTCAATCCGATTTTTAGAGTATAATAGAAATAAATATTTTAAAATGCAATTAGAAAAAGATTATTAAGAAATAAACCATTTTTTTCTATAAGACTAAGTAACTATAATATAAATTAGGATTGGTACGGACAAAAAACTTCAAAAATAATTTCATTTAGGCCATAATATTAATTGGTTAATTATTTTTTTTATTTTTTATATTAATCATAAAATCAAAATTATTATTAACAATAATGATTTCAGTGATTAAAATTGTATTCTAAACGATAAAAAATTGTCTTAATTTAAAGATTTTATAAGAAAAAGAAAATAAAAAATTCTATGATACCTTATTTTTTTTATTTAATTTATTCTTCGCTACAAACATTTATAAAAAATTAAAATATTTTTTAAAATAGAATTTTTTTTTTTAATTTTTAAAATAATAAATATATGACAAAAAGATTAAATTACTATATTTTGAATAAAAAAGATTGTGTCAAAAAAATTGAAATTTAAATTATATAAAAAATTACTTTACTTAATTTTAAAAATTAGTGTTGACTAATCATTAAACAGTTGTTTTTTTTATTTTATAATAAATCAAAATATGTTAATATTTTTAATCAAAGGTCAACAAAATATAAAATAATAAAAAAATTAAAAAAAATCAAAAAGAAAAAGAAATAATTAAAATTTTTATGTGAATTAAAAACAATAGTAATATATTTTCATAGATTTTATTACACTAAGAGCAAAAAATATTTTTTTAAAAAAGAAAAATTATAAATAAATGCAAAAAATAATATTAATAAATAATTTTAATTATAAATTTTTTAGATTTGATAATTTATAAGCATTCCGAAATATTGTTTATTGTTTTAATTAGTTTAAAATTTATTAAAAAATATTTTAAATCAGATTTTTTTTAATAAAATCTAAATTAAATGTTACTTTAGATTTTATAGTATTCTAAAATTTAAGATTTTTTCAAATTAAAGACAAATAAGATTAAAATATATAATGTGGTTAGAGATCTTTTTCAATTATAAATGATAAAAATTTATTAGTACTGAGATTTTATAAAACTATTCTATGTAAAAAAATATATTAGACAAACATAAAAATTTATTTATATATTTTATTTAATTTTTAATAAATTACAATAAAATATAAAGAATATATAATTATATATAGAATATTAATAATAATTGATAAAATATTTTTAAAATCTATTGTTTTATTTTATATTTTTTTATTTTCAATGCTAATCTTCGAATGCCATTCCAAGCCTTTTAAATGTTTTTAATAAATAATTTTTAACTTAACGGATATCTTTTCCATTTTAAAAATCAAGTGATGTCATTATATTATTAGGCAAAATTTCTTTAATAATATCATCATAATCATTTTTAATTTTATCCATTAATCTTAGAAACTATTTAATAACATAATATAAAATAAAATAAAATATTACTTCTTTTTGTGTTTAATTTATTTATTATTAAATTTCATTTTATTAATTATGTAATTAAATCAAATTTTATTCATGACTTTTAAGTAAATTTCCTAATTTTTTATATTTTTCTAAATCTGCATCACTCAATATATTTTCTAAATCTTCTTCTAAATGGTGTTTTTGTTGTTTTTTTTTGTAATTTCAAGTTCAATTTCTCTAATAATTTCATTTTTACTAATTAACATTTTTTTTTGTTTTAAAAAAAAAAGAAAATTATAAAAATATAAATAAAAACTTTTCCTCTTCTTCTTTTAATTTTTATCCATTTTCTAATAATCGCACAAGCTCTTTTTATCTATCTTTTTCACTTGAAATAGCTCTTTAAAAATAAAATTAAAAATAAAAAAAATGAAATATAAAGACTTTAAAATATTCTAAAAAGTATCAATAGTATCATTTGTTTTTTTTAAACCTTATTTAATGGCTTAATCTTCTTCAATTAATGGTTTCATAAAGGTAATACTCTATTTAAACTTTTAAATAATATTTTTAATATCAATATTATCCATTCCAGCTAAATTAGAATAAGACAAAAAATACTCTATAGCAGACTAAAGTATTAACCTTCGTGATAAATTTTCATTTAAATCACAAAAGAATTTCGCTTCATCACTAGATCTTTTTACAAATTCTGCGAACATTGCTTCAGACTTTTATATTAAAATTAATACTTTATAATTAAAAATTTTAATAAAAACCTCTTTAGAACTCAATTCTATTTCTTTTAATAATTCATCTTCATTTTATTCTAGTATATATAAATTATCTTCAATTTTAGCTAACTTGTTTTATTTTTTTAAATAGAAAATATTAAATTACTATTTTATTTTAAAAAAATAATACATTTTCTAATTAATCTAAGAAATCCATATAATAATTAATTTTAAAAGTAGAATCATCAGCATCTTTAATACCAAAAACATTTCCTAAATCACTAATTCTTTCTTATCTTAAGGCTTTAAGATCTGAAAGCATTTTAACAATATTATAAATAGTTGAGATTTTATCATCCTTGATTTTATTTCTTTACAATAGTAATTATTTAAGAGTATTTTGATATTTTTTTTTATGTTAAAAAAAAGGTTCAGCTTTAACAACATGATTTTCAGTTTTATTAATAAGTAAATCTCTGATATTATCTTCAATATTATCAAGATTTTTACAAAAATCTTGTATTTATAGATTAATTTTATCTAATTCTTAATCAAAATGTCTTAATTTTTAAAGCTAGACATCAATTTGATTTTCAAAATGTTTATTAGTTTCCCAAAAATCTGAACTTCTTGAAAGTTCAATACTTTTTCTTTCTTAGTTGGCAGTTAAATCATTAACAACCTATTAGATTATTTTTTACATCTTAGGAGTTTAATTAGCAGTAGCATTTATTAGATTTTATATATTTTAATCTTCATTACTATTTTCTTCATTTATTTCTAATAAGTATTTTTATAATTAATGTGCATTCGTCAATTGTATTTATTGAATTCTCTCTTCTTATTATATTAAAATCTTTTATTTTTTTGCAAATACTAAGGCTTTTCTCCTATTCATCAATATTATCATATTATTCACTATTTTTTAGTTATTTTATTTTTTTATATTTATTATTTTATTTTACTATTGTTATCTAATTCATCATTTATTTAATCTAAATTAAGATAATTTATATCGTTTTCTAATGTATTATCATAATTTAAACGATTTTAGGAAGTTTGAAAAATATTCTCTTTATCTTTTAGAATGCTTTATTCTGCAAGAGATTTGGTTGTGCCTTTTTGTGATTTTAATGGGGTCTTTTATAAATTTTAATTTGAAAATATTTAGCTATTTGTATCATTTTAAACTAAAAATGATTTGTTTATTTTCATTTGAATTAATAATTTTAATATATTTTTTTTTAAAAAAATAATATATAATAAACATTTATAATATAAGTATTTAATTAAACAAAAAAAAAATTATTAAAATATTAAAATAATTAAATAGAGATCAAAATTAATTATATTAAATAATAAAAATGATAAATTATTTATTCTAAAAGAAGAATATATCTAAAGTACCTTTCTGCACTATAAATAAATATTAATTACTTGAAATATAAGAAAAGGAAATAAAAATTATATAATAAAAGTTATAATTAAAAAAAGATAATTTATATCTTCATATCCCAAAGACTAAATTTAATCCACGTTTTCACCCTTTGTAAAATGAACAAAAATATAATGCATAAATATCATAAAATCTTTATTAATGGTAATAAACAGCATTTAAAAATTCTAAAAAATAACTTCTTATGCATGATTTGCCGTTTCAAACTTATGGAGAGCCACATTTTGGTCATTTTTATAATCGAATATAATAAGATATAGCTACAAGGTTCGCTGTTTTATAAGGAATTAAAGTAACATAATAGATTGGATTTAATTTACATGGATAAACTATTTAAAATTAAGCACTTTTTGAAGATTTGGAAGAAAAGAAAGAACTTATAAAATATTCAGATGATCAAATAAGAGAAATAGCTTAAAAATATGCGCATAAAAGTTTAGATAAAATAATTAACTAATATAAAAAATGGGGTTTAATGTATGATTTTTATTAAGCATATTTAACTTCACGTAAAAAATAATATATAATAAAAGAAATATTTATATGCAAAATAAAATAATAGATAATTCATACTAAAAAGGAGTTTTAGAAGCATTTAATTAATTAGTAGAAGAAAAGAGAATATTTGTTGATTAATAAATATGTTTATGGTCAATAAAATATCGAAGAAGCTTAGATGATGACGAATCAGAAATGTAATTGAGGCAAAAGCCAACAAATTTTGTATGTTTAGAGATCATAAATTACAAGGAAAGTGAATACTTAAAAGATTTAATAAGATAAAATAAAATAAAAAAATTATTTGTAATTATAACGATAAATGAATTGTATTAATTGAACAGTTTAAGAGCAGTTGAAATAAATGAAAATGTTGAATATGGAATTTATTAAATGAATAATGGAATAATATTTATTTTATCAAGGAAAAGATTTAAATAACATAGACTTTATTTTAAAGAAAAGGGTGCAAAATTAATTGGGATTTAAACAGGTAGATAAATATCTTAATTATAATTATTTGAAGAAGTATTCTAAAGGAAGATCAATTTTTTAAATACCGATTAATTTGCAATTAATGAAAAATTTGGAAGTGGAATTAGGAGTGTTATACCAGGAAATAATATAGATGATTTTACTTTAGGCCAAAAGTTAGGTATTATTCAAAAAGCATGTATTGATGAATAAGGAAGGTTTACTTATGAGAAAGAAGTTCCAGAAGGATTAAAAGGATTATAAATAAATAATGGAGAAGCTAATAGGTATATACAAGATCTTTTAATAAGTAAAAATCTTTTGTTAGAAGGAATACATGAGTTGGTAGAAATTAATGAATATATTGATAAAAAAAGCAAAGAAAAGCTCATTCTTAGAACATAGCCTACTGTCTTTTGTATGCTTCCTAATTTTGAAAAGGAAGATTTTATTGAAAAAATTAATATCGTCCCTTAAAATACTATAGAAGAAACTTATTCACATATTAAAAATATGCTTAAGTAAAAAACTAATAAATGGGCTATTTCTTCTAAAGCATAATGGGGAATACCTATTCCTATTTTTATTTATAAACATAATACAACTAAATATTTAATTGATAAGTCTATAATCTAACATAATATTTAAATATTTTAAAATGAAGGATGTTTATCTTTTTTCAATAAATCAATTATTGACTTATTACCTTAAAAATATAAGTAAATATTTTAAATATTTTATAATATTTATAAAATAAATATTTTATAATATTTATAAAATAAATATTTAGAAATTAGTCTCATTTATTAGAAAAAGCAAATTTCGTATTTGACATATGGTTTGAAAGTGGTTGTAGTTGGTACACTTAATTGAAAAGTTAAGAAAACGAAGAATAAAATACTCCTACTTTGAAATAAGCAGACTTATCAATATTAGGAACTGATTAATGCGATAGTTGGTTACTTTCAAGCAGCTTATTATGTATAGGTTTAAGGGAAGAACCTTTCAGTAAATTAATAAAAATGCATGCTCTTATCCCATCAAAAAAAGATGAAAAATTATCCAAACTATCATAATTTGGAATCAAAATAGAAGATATAATAGAAGGTAATGTAAAATTTAATGGGTAAAGATAATACGGGTATGGAGTTGACATTGCTAGGTTATGGGTTGCTTATTCAGATCAGACAATAAATAATAAACAAAATATGGAAGAATTTTTATTTTTATCTTCTAATGAATTTGACAAAATGAGTAATTATGTAAATATAATAAGAAAAGCAGTTTGGAATATTTTCGGTGTATTAAAAGACTACTAATAAGTTACTTAAGATGGTGTACAAATGAGCTTTATTAATGATTTTATGATGACTTAATTGTTTTTGTTTATGATTAATATGAAAAAAAATTATGAATAATTAAACTTTTAAACTTGTGTTAAATTAAGTATTGATTTTATCAAACATTTTATTTATGATTTTTATTTGGATGCAACTAAAAAATATATAATTTCTTAAATGAAAGAAACCTAAGCTCAAGAAGCTCTTTTTGTTTATTCTAAAGTAATATTTTTATTATTTTATATCTTAAATAAAATAGATTATATAATTTTATTGCATTGCAATTGCTCCAATTCTACCTTTTAATAGTTAGGATATATATATAAATATATAATTTAAAGATTAAAAGGAGACAGTTTTTCATGAAAGATGGCCTGAATTTTACGAATAAGAATTAATTAGGGTAAAGGAAAAAGTTTCTCTTTATAACTTTTTGTGGGAGTTAAGAATTTGTGTTTAATAACAGTTAAATTTTTAAATAGCAAGATATTAAAATATAAAGGAAAAAGATAAATATAACCTTGTTTTTGTTGTAAAAGATATATTTAGCCAAGAATACTAAGTTTTAAATTAAGATTAATTAAATTAATTCTTTGGGGTTGGAAATGTTTTTATTTAAACAGAATAAGAAAATTAAGTTTATCCCTTAAAAAATATAAGCACATTTAAATTTAAATAACTCTATAATGATAAATATTATTCTTTTACTATAAAAATCTATCTAACATAAGACTCAAAATGTGTAAGATGCTTTTTTTATAAAGCTAAAGAAGAAAATACAATTTGTTAAGATTGTATTACTTATTTAAGTTAATATTACCCAAAGGAAAGTGAAGATTATATATTATTAATTAAATAGAAGTAATATTAAAAAATAATATTAATTTGAAGAATACTTATAATTTATTTTACATATTGAGTTATTATTTTAGTTGACTTTTTATATTTTTAAAATAAAAATACACATAATATATAAATAATAACTAATATAGAAAAATTATTAATATGTTAAAAAATAATTATTATAATTAAACAAAATTCGAGATTTATAAAATTAAGTATTTAAATTTTTATTTCTAGTATTATTAATTTAATAATTAATATCCAGGTTCTTATTAATAAATTTATCAATTTTTGTTTTTAAAAAAAATTCTAATAAGTTTTATATATTAATTATTTGTTAAATAAATAAATCATATTTGAAAAATTTATTATTTTGAATAGTATTATTTAAAAGATCTTTTCTTAAAACCTTTTTTCTATATTTAAATTTGGTAATAAATTTCTAAAATATTATTATTATTATTTTAAAAGAAATAATGTTAACTTAAAGTTAATAATATAAATTCAAATTAAAATTTATTTTATTAAATTAAAATAATTAAAAATATTAATAATAAAAAAATATCTAAATAAAATAATCATTAAAATATAAAAAAATGTAAAAACCTGTAAATCCAAATTAAGCTTTAAAAAAAGAAAACAATCCTAGTATAATAAGAATTTATTAATATACTCTTTGATTGGTATTGGTATAGCAATAAACATATTACTTGCATACAATTACTATATCAAAATATAATATCATATTAAGAATGAGGGACAAGGCAAATTTATATTTGATTACTAAGGTAATTTAAAGAATTTATAAAAAGCTTCAAACGATCTTTCTTCATAATTAGAAAATTAAGGCAAAAAAATATTAAATTTGGAAATAAATTTAGCTTATAATGAATTGAATTCTGAATAACTATTATTAATTGGAATTGGACTAGCCACTTTAGAGAATGTTAAAAGTATAAAATTAATACTTTCTAATACTTAAGTTTCTGATGAATCTGTTTTAGCAACTTGCCAAGTTTTATAATATTTGCCTTAATTACAAGTTTTGTTTTTAGGATTGGACTCAATTACTTTAAAAGCTGAAACTTTAAATTAATGCTTTTAAGCAGTTTCCAAAAGTGCTAAAATTAGTAATATTTCATTATCTATAATCCACAACAAAATTTAAGATTCAGGAATAGAATAGCTAGCAGAAGGTATTTCTAGTTTTTAAAACAAGAATCTTAGAAAATTAAACTTAATACTTATTTCAAATGAAATAACTTCTGTAGGAGCTCAGAAATTAGCTTAAGCAGTTTAAAAAATATAATCTTTAAATACTCTTTAAGTTTCTTTATATGCAAATAAATTAGGTAAAAAAAAAAATACATTAACATATTATATCTAATTTTAAAAAAATAAAGGAGCTGAAGGAGCATAATAGATATCAGAAATAATGCTTCCTTAATTATAGAACTTTCATTTAGATTTGTATTTCAATAATATAACAGATATTGGAGCAAGGAGTTTGTCTAATAAATTAATAAATATGTAAAACTTGACTGAATTAAAATTAAATCTAGACTTTAATTATATTTTAAATGAAGGAGGTTAGTATATAGGTGAATCTTTAAAAAAACTTACAAGTTTGAAAGCTTTGAATTTAGGTGTTGCAACAAAAAATTTTGGAACTTCAGGATTCGAACATATAGCAAATGGAATTTCTAACCTAGTTAATTTAGAAGAATTAAGATTAGCATGCGGAGTTAATAAATTAGGTCCTTTTGGAATTAATTACTTAAAAATAGCTTTTTCAAGATTAGATAAGTTGAAAAAACTTGATTTAGATTATTATGAAAATTCTTTAGGTGATCCTAATGGTAAAAAAGTAAATGAACTCTTAGACGCTTTAGGCAATTTAGAAGAACTAAATTTAAACTTTGCCTTTAATAATTTGCTTGATTATGGTACTATCTAAATTCTTAAAGGAATTTAAAGACTCAAAAAATTAAAAAAATTAAAATTAGATTTTGGTAGTAATGAAATTGATGATGATTCTGTTGAAAGTATTCTAAAAGAAGTTGATATTATATCGAAATAAGTTGATTAGTTTTAATTTGAATTCTTGAATACTGCTATTACTAAAGAAGTAAGCGAAAAAATCAGATAAAGATATTAGGATATAAATAATATTAAGGTTTCTGTTAATTCTAATGTTTCTAAAGAATATCTCGAAAACAAGAAAAATAAGAAAGAATAAAAATAATAAAAACAATAATAATAATGAAATATATAATTATTCTTTTAAAAATATTTTTATTTAAACAAAAATATATATATTAATTTAATAGGTTTATTAAAAAAATTCAATAAATTTATATTCTTTTCAAAAAGAAATATTTATTTTTTATTAATATATATATGAAATTTATTAAATTAATTTTTTACTAAATATGAATAATTTTTTAACAGGAAGAAATGCTATAATATTTTCTGTTCCAAGCCGTATAAATGAAATTAGTAAAAATATCAAACTTTTTCATAAATAAACATAAATAACATTATAATTAAATAAATAATAAAAAGATATTTAAACTCATAATCCTGTTCCTTTTTAAGGATATAATAATACAAAAAAAGAATTACAATAAGATTAATAGTATTTATTTTTATTATACAATGACTAAAATAATAATAAAATATAATATAAGTATATAAGAAAACCCGGTTATTTAGGCAATCATTAAAGAATAAATTGACAAAGAATTTCAAAATTAAAATAGAAAATTAATTGAAAATGCTAATTATTATGAATAATAATTAAATTAACTAAAATAAAAAATATTAACCATTCAAAAGTAATGTTAAAATATTAATTCGAATAGTTTAGATAAATTAGAAATAGAGAATATTGGTTAACAAAGCAAAGATTTTCAAAATTAAAAATATAATTAGTTATAATAATATTTAAATTCTTAAAAAGAAAAATTAAACAAAAATATTGATTCATTAATTGAATAAAACTCTGAAATATTATAATAAAAATAAAAAAAGATAAATGAGTTATAATAAATATATGAATAAAAAATATCATTAATAAAATAATAAATAGATATATATTCCTAAGTAGATTCTTTCAAAAATGATTAATTAGATGTTAATTTAATTGATAAACTTTAATATGATTATCTTTAATTATCGCTTTAAATTACTAATCTTTAGAACTCAATAATAACTAATTAATACCATTAAAAAGTTATATTCTAAACTAACTTAGGTAAAAAAGTTAAATTTAAAAATCTTTTTATAATAAAATAGATTAAAAAACATAAAATATAATTTAAAAATGTTAAGGATTATAAGATTTCATATAAGATTTCAAAAAAGATGTTATTTTTAAAAATTAAAATATAATTTAAATTTAAAAAAAAAGGTTGACATAAAAATAAAGGACATAGATCTAAATACTAAAATTTCGTTATAAAAAAACAATGATTTTATTAAATAAAGTTAGGATATAAAATAAGATATCTTATATCAGCATAAATTATTATAAGAAAATTTAAATAATATAAACTAATCAGAAATATAACAAAGAAATAAAGATTTGGAACTTTATGATAAAATGTTAAAAAAAACATTACTTGAATATCAAAACTAAACTGAAGAATTTATTAATTAGATAGAAAGCAAATAAAACATCTAAACATAAAGATAAAACTCCGATCCTGATATTCCTGCAGAATTCGGTGATATTGGAGATGAAATGATATAAAAGGATAATTAAATATAAATAAATGTTGAAGATGTAATATATATATATAATTTATAAAAATATTTATTAAAATTAAAAATAAGTAACTTGATTTAGAAAATATAGAAATAGCAACTTTCGGAGAATCAAGTAAAACATCAGGAACAATATAAAATACACAAAAACAAAATATAGTCGGCTAAAATACAGAAAAACAATAAAATTAAATTTTTTAAATTAATTCTTCTCCTCCAAAATTATTTTAGAAAAAAGAATATAACTCTTTTGATAAAATATATTCTTTTGAAGCACCTGAGCTATAGGATAATTATAAAAATTAATTTTCTTATTCCAAATAAATTAAAAAAAATAATAATGATGATGTATAAATTAACTATGGTAATTAATAATACTATTAAAAATAATAATAATTACTTCCAAATTTAGCAAATGACAATAACAGTTTTAACAACTTAGAGGATTATAGAGTTTCTAATACAGATAATAAAAGCTAAAATGACCAAGATGAAGAAGAAGTAGTTTATGTTTTAGATGAGAATGGCTATTTATTAGATGAAAATGGTAATTATATCTTAGATGATGAAGGTTAAATGATAAAATTAAATGAAGAACATATATAATATTTAAAAGAAACTAATATGATTGAAGAAAATTTATGATGTTAATTCTTTTTAAATATTATTAATGAATTAAAATTAATATTTTTTATTTAATAAATTAAAATAATATAAATTATATTATTATTATATAATTTTATATATTAATTTTATAAGTTTCAATTATAATTAAAATTATTGTCTTTTAATCTATTAACTGGTATATTTTAAATTAGAATTAATAATAGCAATATAAAATTTATGTCGTAAACTAAAAGAAATAATACACTTTAAATATAATTATATGATAATTTTTTAAATAAAGAATAGCATTTATTTGATAAAATTAATTATTAAAGAAATATATAATAATTTTTTTCTAAAAATAACTTTATTTTAAATGAATAAATAAACAATATAGTTTAATATCACCAACTTTATGAATAATAAGTCTAAAATCAAAATAAAATAATTATAACAAAAAGTAACTTATATAAGTTCGGAATGAAAAATAAAAATTAGAAAATCTAGATAAAAGTGAAGATTTTTGTTATATATTAGATGTATGTTAATATTAGAATAAAACAATAATTAAATACAAATTAAATATATAATGATTAAATTAAAAAATATGATGAAAGAATATTTAGAATTAATAATTAAAATATAATATTTTTTTATTATTTTAAATTAATAAGCTAACTTTTTTTTAGATAAAATAAAATATATCATATAATTAAAAAGTGAAACAATAGTTAAAAATTTACAGAAAAATACTAGAATATCAACTATTTTGATTTCAGTTTACTTAAAATAATTTACAAATAAAATCTACAATTAAGAAAAACAACTTTAAAGATAAAATAAATTATATAATATATTTAACATATTATTAATTTTATTATTATTTTTTTAATAATAATTATATATAATTTTTATAAAATTATATATATATTTATATTATTTTTAACTAAATTTTTGCTAACATTAAAATATTTATATCTAATTTTAAGAAACACACAATTTCTGAAATTTTATGATTTTTTAAATATTTTTTACAGACTTTTTCAAAAGTTAATTTTAAATAATAATTAAAAAAAATTTAAAAATACATTAATCATGTCTGAAAATTCATAAGCATCTGTTTAATAAAATAACATTTATTCGAATAAACAAAATTATGTGAAGCGAATACTAGTAAAAGGATCTTAATTAAGTAAATAATAATTAAATTAATTTTATAAAATACTAAAAAGCTTAAGCCATGTTTTAAAAAAGTAAAGACTAAGAAAAAAGCAAAGATTAAAATAAAAATTAATTTCAAATGTAAAATATAATGATTTATAAATTTTTAAAAAAATAAATTTTATTAAAGGCATACTTCTGATTTTGAGAATAGTATTAATTAAAAGGACTAAACGCATAAAAGTTTAGAAAAATAATTTTAGTAACCACAAATATCTAAACAGATTTTATAAGATAAGAAATAAATACTAAAAGAAAATAACGGTTATAATTTATAAATATAGTAAAAAAGAAATAATTAGTCTTAAACAAGACTAAATCAGATACTTTTAATTAAAGAAATTAAATTATTAGTAAGATAAAAAACTATTTACTTACTTAAAACTTAGCTTTAAAATTATTAAAAAATAAATTTCGAATTATAATAGGATCTTCAGAAAAAAAACAATGAAATTAAATTTATTTAATAAAAATTCTAAGATTTACAATTTTAAAAAGTTGATTAAATTATTAAAAATGATAGTTTTTATTTTTTTTAATAAGAAAATTTATAATCCTCTAATGATAATTAAATTACTGTAAATGATTAAAGATAAATAATTATTCTAAAAAAACAAAATTAAGAATTAAAAAAATCATTATCTAATATAAATTGCAATTTTGATTATTTTCGGGAATTCGCATAATAATATGAAACTAAAGCTGAGATTTTATAAGAAAAACTTAATGAATAATAATAAGAATTAAGTCTAAGATTATATCAAGTTTTATCTTTCAAAAAATAAAAAGAAGAGAATGAATAAAAATACAACTTACTATTTAAAAATTTTCTTGAAATTTAAAATTAATTAGACTTTCAAAAAAATTATGAATAATAAAAGTTTACTACTTTGGAATAATAAATTAATAATTTAGAACATAATTTAAATTATAAAAATTTGTTATTATAGGAAAGTTAAGAAGAGTCTAATGAAATTAAAATTAATTAAAATTTCTTTATAAACGATAAAGATTAAAAAGAAATTTATAATCAAATAGATCAAATTATTATTATAAGTAAAATTATTAAAAGTATAAACGATGGTGAGATTTGAATACAAATTATATATAGTAAATAGTATTTATTATATATTACCTTAAATTATAAATTTTTTTTTTTTTTTAAAGGTAGTTAATATAATAAATTAAAAAATATGTAGAAATATAAAAAAAAAATACTATAAATATTTTATAAATAAATAATATTTAAATTTTTTTAAAAATGGATTAAAATAATAATTAAATATAAAATTAAAGTTAAAATATTCATTAGTGGGTTAAAGCCTTATAAAAATCGATTGTAAATAATTAATAATTAGAATTTTCAAATATCTGTAGTGTTTCATATTTATATAAAGGCGAAGCAGGAATAGACAATATATTTTTTGATTAAATTTAAGAAATTCCTCTCGAAAATAATGAATAAAGCTAACTTATGAATTATGCACTTTTATATAGTATAGATGCAAGAAAAAAAACTTTTTAAGAAATTAAAGACAATGTAAAAACAGAAATCTGTTGGTATTTTCCTTTAACAAAAGAATAATATAAAATAAAATGCTATTTTTATTACACAAATATAACAAAAAATAATATTAATTAATTTGAAAAAGATTTATTATAATAAGGTTGGGATAGAAACGAAAATGAAAAAAGAAAATTATACCATGAAACACATCCTGACACTTATAAAGTAAACAATGATTTAGATAAATACAATTTACAAAGTAAAAATAATTTATCCCCAAATTATGCTATACTTATTTTTAGACCTTATATGAGTATTTTTTTTATAATATAAGCTTTATATTATATACAAATTTGTTATATTTAGTTGAACATTCGTGTTTCATAATGCCTTAAGTTATTGCAAACGGAAGAAAATAATTTGAATCTATATTCAAACCATATAAAAAAAATTAAAAATTCATTCATTAAATAGAAAAAAATGAGTGGAAAGTATATGAATTAAATCCATGAATTAATATTTTTTTTTTATAAATATATTTATTATAATTTATTATTAAAAAATTATTTAATATTAATATAATTCATTTTTTAGTAATTTATGTAATTTATATAAAATAATATTTTTTTTAATTTTCAAAAAATTTTTTTTAGGATATTTATTTATTAAAAGGTAAAGGTAAATAATATAAGTAATTAAATTGTATAAATTATAAAAATAAAATATAAAAAATTATATAATAAATTATTAAGATAAAAAATATTAAACAAATTCACTTTATTTATTTTAAATTATGTATTATTTTGCAATATATTATTGTTACATATTTTTTAAATTTTAATTTTTTTTTTTAAAAAAAATAAATAAAAGTTAAAAATAAAAAGTAAATCTATTTTTTCTCATCTTTGTTATTTAGATTTAATTTTTTTTTTTTAGAAAAAAATACATTCCATAAAAATTAAAACATAAATATAAATTTTTGATTATATATATTTAAAATTCAGAACATAAATAAAATATTAATATCTATATAAAGTTTTTAATTATACACATTTATTTTTTATAATTATATATATGAAAATATCTAATTTTATAATAATATCAATAATATCTATAAATTATAATTTTTATAATTATAAAAGAAAAAAAAATATTTTATATATAATAAAAAAAAAAAAATTATAATCAACAAAAATATAAATAAGAGAAAATTTTTAAAGATATGTCTTAAAAAGATCTTCAATATAATATTAAACAAATAAATTTTTAAAAATAAAAATATATATAATGCAAATAAAATAATAAAAATGAACAATTATATTAATATTATTTTTTTATAATAAATAAAAAAAATACTTTTATATAAAGATTAGTTAAATAACAATGTAAAAAATTTGAGCATAAAATTTAAATTTAAAAATTTTTATATGTTTAATAAATTAAATAATATATAATAATTTTATTTTATTTAATATAATATAATTTTATTTTTTAATAAAATAAAATATTAATTTATTTTATTTTAATTAAAATTTGAAAAAAACTTATAAATAACGTTATAAATAAAAGTTTATTAATTTTTAATAAATATTCTGTTTATATATAATTTTTTGTTATACAATCTTTTAATTTCAATATCTTGTAAATTTTATAGTTTAGAAAATTTTAAATATTAAAAATTATTTATTATATAATATTTTTTTTTTTTCGATAATATCAAATATTAATTTTATTTATTTTTCAAATAAAATTAATTTAAAAAAGATATATTTAAAATATATTTTTAAATTTATATCAATATTTGTAATTTTTATTCTATTTTAAATCATATTATTTAATTTATATAATTCTATTAAAAACTATATCATGATAATATTGCAAATATTTGATAAATAATATAATATTATGACATTGTGGTTTATTGTTATTTTTTTTTATATAATTTATATTAACAAATATTAGATATTATTATTTTATGTATAAAATTCTATTTATACTATTAATTATATTCATTATATTTATTTTTATATTTTATTTGTATTTTTATATTTAATTTATTTATTTTCAAAATTTATAATTAAAAAAAAAACTTTTAAAAATTATTTATACACATAAAGAGTTTTAATTACCTAAAATGATTAAAAATTATAAATTTAATTAAAGTTAATAAATAAGAAAAATAAATTATATATATAATTATATAAATCTAATAAAGACATTTATTGCTTTATATAATATTATTATTTGCATTATATATGTTTAAATTTGTTTAAAAATTACAAAAAATTTATAATGTTATTGAAAAACTGATTTAATATTTTATATTTATTATTCCAATAAATTTATTTATATAAATTTGAAAAAAAAATATATAACCTTCAAAACAATATATTAAAAAAAAATTTGTAATGATAAAACAATAATAATAAAAAATAAATAATTGTATAATTATTTAGATATATATTAATATTAAATATGAATTATTTAATTTTATTTATATAATAAAGATAAACTAATATTAAAAGATATAAAAATTTGTAGAAAAAAATATATATATATCTAAAAATATCTATCTATATATATAAAAAAAAAATATATATATATATTTATATATATATATATATA